CGCATCAACGGCCAGTACCAAGCTTTTCCTTCTTATCAAACTTCTTACACGTCCAACCTCCATCAATCTGCCTTAGCGGATCGTGCCGTCATTCGAAACAATCGCCGGCTTGAAACGAAACGTCAGCCCTGCCAGGCTATCCCAACGGCTACCTAGGTAAATCCGACGCACGCGGCTCGGTAGCCACAACACCAACGCCAGTCCTTCTTTTCGTGCCTCAGGTGCTTCAAGGCATTGAAGTGCCAAGGCGTAGTAGATATGAGGGGTGGAAGTCTCCACGATACTACGACTTCTACTGCTTCTTGTAAATGGTCTTTGGGTCTGCCACCGGTTCAATGGCTAATCTAGATTGTACACTTGAAGAGTAAAGTTCTAGAATGCGTTTAAAGCCGAACTCTCCATCGCGATCCCGGAGTCATCAAGAACTGATTGATTCGTCAGGCATATCCATGAGCATGCCATACATTATGACGTGCTGCATCGGAAGTATGCACTTGGGGAACGGGTGGACTATTAGTGCTGACCGCGAGAGTTCACGGTAGATCGATACCCATGGGCGCTACTCCGTCGCTTCAGCTACCCATTCTGCAAATAAAGTTAATTACCTTAGGCAGAAGTATAGATGCGAGAGATCTTAATCCTGGTTCCCGCTGATGCACCACACCTCCTGCGAGGGAGAACCCCAATAAACTATACATCCTACATTCTCAGAGATGCTGTTTCATTCGATCGCTACGTCCATCAATATGTTATATGACGATCGATGTATCTGTCTCCTCTATCGGTACCTTTCAGATGTATTGCATGCCCTCTACGCGATCTATCCCATACATTACGGACAACTCGAGACCGTCTGCTTACTTTGCGGTTGAAGATTGATACACATGTTTCTCAAGCCGTGAACGGTAGTCTTGCCATGTACTCGGCACATTCCTCCGCCATTCACTCTGGCAGCTTCAGTCATCTTACTATCATACGTGTCTTAGAGATGCTTCTGGGGTTGGACAAGCGGATATCACACGAAAGCCGAGCACACCATGTCCTACCACATAAGTAATAGCACGTCACCGCAGATGCAAACTAGATCAAAGGCTGCGCAGCGCTTTCCAATTTGCAAAAAAATAACTCTATCCATAAACGACCGTAACACCATCTACTCCAACACCAGAATCCAAACACACTTCAACATATAACGAAGGTAAGGACAGTGTCAAGCATAACTCTAAGTACCAGTCGACCACTACGACCTTCAGCCAACCATCTAGCCGTCGCTCAACACTTCCACGTAAGCTGAACGCCGCAATCAGTGGCGAAAGGAGGGCTAACGCGAGAGCATTGAGCGTTAAAACCTCCATCAGCGTTCTCGATCCAGCGTGTATCAGTTCCGCAACCTCTGACAACATCTGCGTACGAACAGCAATTAGCACAAGGGTGCGACTGTGATGTGGGTGTTGGGCGATGGAGAGACAGTGCTTACAGCTGAAACCGTTCCTCAGCTTCACCGGAGAGCCGCAGTTGGGGTTTACCACTCCACTGCATGAGTTGTCGCCGTAGATCCACATCACTGGCCTGTTGTCAGATTTCAGATCAATTTTGAGAAAGTTGGCGACTTACGGTTGTTACTATCGTTGTTGCCCAGGGCAATCGTAGCCGTGGCCTGAGAGGCGAAGAGGCTAAAGGCTACTGCGATGATGGAGATGGAATGCATGATTGTGATTGAGCGTAGAGACTTTGTTTGCTTTGGTGAGGAGTTGAAGTGATGAGAGTGGTGGATATTCGTTGTAATCGACCATGACTTTATACTTTGATTTCATCGTCGGCATGTACTTGCTGATATCATAGCGTATAGTTGCATCTTGATGTTGTTGCTGCTATCTACAGCAAGCAATACAACACAGAGTGGAAAGCTTCCTAGGTCGTCGATGAGACTTGTAACATGGTGATGCTGGTGTAGCGTTTGTCGAACTTGGTTCATAAGATACATGACGAAACTTCCTCTTTTGCGCTCTCGGTAGATGAAGGCCTCGGTAACGTGGGACAATATACCTTAGGGTTGACATGTACTACGATGGCCGTCTGATATGGCAAGTCCTAGATACTTGGCGTCAGCAGTAATATATCTTCCGGCCTCAACGTGGTCGCTCCGTGTCACTGCCGAAGAGGAGGAGTGTTTGTCATGGGGACCTCAGAAAGCTAAGATTGGAATCACAAACGTCTATATCTATCCAGCAACGACCTCATCATGTGCACGTGATGATGGGTAGATACATTGGTACAGGTAGTGGGAGTACAAAGCTCACTTGTCGAAACCAAAACATGTATATGTAGGTATCAAGAAAGTATCCTATATCTAAAGTTTTGAATAGGAACACATCAATGAACCAAGATACGGTGTATAGACGTGGATTTGTCGTTCTCGAGCGTGGGGCTTTCGTAGGGCGACTGCGCAGAAGCCCACGTTTGGCAAGCTGCAACGAATACTCTGCATAGAAGAACACAGCATCTAACTTTTGGTGAGTCTATTGACTACGAGAGTGATGAGTACATACATGCGATATCTGTTGTCTCGTACGACTTTGAATGAGCGGGCTTGTTCGTGTTAGGTACCTAAGTACACATTATGATCTTGATCATCTTAACGTTGCCGTCTTGATGGATCATATCTCATTTTGATCTCAATATTTTTCCTTGTGAAGTTCGTCAGGAAGCGAAAAGTTGTAATAACTCGGTATGGTCGTTACCTAAGTAACCAAGGTTTTGCTGAACGTTGCCCCACTTCTGGTGCGCAAATACTAGCAAAATCCTCAACAAGCGCAACAGCTCTCAGTCTCATTACAACGAGCAGGTGTTTGTTATAGCAGATAGCGTCTCTTCTTCCTCAAGCAACCGGAGCAAGCCAGAAGTCTCAATGAAAAAGGTAATTCGCGTCAGCCTCAGATAGTGCGATAGAGGCGACACTGTGCCAGAGGATATGAGCAAGCCCAGGGATCCTCCGGCTGGTTTCAAAAATAAGAATAATCTTGAAGTTCCCGTAGGAACGTTCTGCGGTGGTGTTAGCGACGAGATCTGCGGGCGTAGAGGATGCAGAGGAACGTACTCAGAGATTAAACTGAAAAGAACAGATACTACACTTGATCTAAGCCAAAAGGCAAAGAGAGCTAAGGAGCAGAAGAAGGGACGGAGGAGGGTGGGTTTATATACCTGGGCGAAAAGTCTGAGAGGCGCTAGTGCCCTAGCGTTCTGAGGGCGTTGCCTGGGAGATGGTGACGTGGAAAGCCGTAGAAAGACGCAAAGGTGGGTTGGTAAATGTGGGACGCGAGGGCGGTGACGGTGGATAGCTCAACTCAAGGTGGGGGGGACAGGCAGAAGAACAACGCCTACGATTCGATGTCCCAGGGCTATGATGAGCCGACCTTCCGTGGACCGTTGTGCAATGAACACGAGCCGCAGGTCGAGTTGCATAAGATATGCATAATTGTGTTGCTGCAGGCTGATAGATCCAGGCGAGTCCTTGCATAGTTTTCGGAGGGCGATTTGGCTGGAACCGATTAAAGCGGCGCCACCCCATTCAAGGGAAAAACCGAACACCTAAGAGCCTACGTCAAGATAAAAGCTTGCGAAGTTAGTAGCCTAACAGCGACGTAGGCTCCTGGGTGTTCAGTTTTTCCCTTGAATGGGGTGGCGCAGCGGGCGTAATCAGGTAGCGATGGCTGACGGCGTACTTCGATTTCGTCGGTAGAGCGAGCGCGTCCTTACTCACCATGTCGCTGCTGCTACGTAGGAGGTCCTCTCGAATTCATATGGGCGACATTCCCAGGTTCTTCGGGAGGCCCACGTATATGGCCTGCATACCTAGGTAAGGTTGGCGAACACAGTACGAAGAGCCAACGTCTTTGTCGAGGTTTCTGTGAGCCGCCATCGTGACGAAGTTGTTGCTTTCGAGTTTTGCGTCAGCTATAGCGAGCCGTAGAGATACGCGCTGGATTGGAAGTTAGCATGTGATAACAAGTAGCGTGGTAGATCCATCCACGGTCTGGAATCTGTTGTAGCTACCTGGGTAGGGTTTTCATCATAAAAAGAACGTGTTCATAGCAATCGACATATGAAAGAGATGGAAGAGTACGGCGGTACTAGCTGAGGACGTGGTACACCGCGATCGCGTACCTACACAGATTTGCGGGCGGGCGGCAGCGACACCACCTTGGATAGCCACACGCAGCAATGGTCGTATATTGCCACTAATATCTCTTACACGCGCGCTGGATTTGCAACACAATCTTGAAGCTTCGGTATTGTCGGTCTGCTTTTATGAGCGGAGGAGTCTGGTTTGTGTAACCCGCGAAGAGCGGAGCAGACCTAGGTACTCTGGGAACGGTACAATACCACAGCCTGCCGAACGAACAATCACGACGATGCGCATACTGATAACTCACGTCGTAGAAGGTGAATGTAAGAGCAGATGGATGTAGGCTTCGCAAGAACGGTGATGGGTAGCAAGTACCTACCTAGGTAGGGAACGCAGTGGGATTAAAGTTGAGGCAGCCACGACTGAGCGCCGCAGAGTCGCAAGAACGGTCGCCTCATTCGATATTGCAGAGAGCTTCAACATCTACCTACCAATTGTAAAGCCCGAGAGCTGCATCTGAGAAGTCGACGGCCGCTGCTGGTACTTGTAGATGATCACATACCATGGAGGACGTAAGTTGTGTGCACAAAATTGAAGGAACATGACATATACGGAGTAACACGAATTCCTTGGAGTGAAACCATGTTTGAGGCGTCATCGCAGGTACTTTTTTCTCTCTTCCCCTAATCTCTTCCCTCTAATTGCTGAATCGGGCTAGATGCTACGCAAAGGAGCAAACATTCTAGTGTATGACTATCGAGTCTTCCTTCACGAGAACGCACACGCAATTTCGACAGTTTCGTGCGCCTTTACATCTGGCGTACCAACTTGGTCGGACATTGAATAAGTCGGGTTACTCTATCATCCTTTCATCATGTCGGCGCCAGAAACAACCATCCCGGATCGCGCATTGCACGATGCAATCATTGTCGCTCTTTCGCTTGACGCTCAGTCTGAGAAGGAAGAAGCCCTAACTGCAGCGCTCAAAAGCTGGAAAAGCGATGACGACGAAACTCGCTCTCCTCACCTGCTCGTTCACGTCCTTCAAAACATGTACGAGCTCCCAGAGCTGCCCACAGCCCTCAAAAACCAAGATGCTTCCGACTATGATACGCTAAAAAAGGTCTGCAAAGAGCTCAAATTCACACTACTATTCGCGTCCGTGAAGAAATTGCTCGGCTGCAATCTCTACGTGGAAAACCGCCATTATCGGAGGTGGGAGAAAAGCCGTCCTAAGATCGATCCGAAAGATGACACCTGTACCATCACCGTCGACCAGCTAAAGCTGATGCAAGTCGTCGACTTGAAAGGAAAGCCGCGTGAATTACGACTACCCGTGCGAGATACTGAAGTTACCCAGAAGGAGGCCTTCACACATGAGACTGCTAAGATTGAGATTGAGGACGGTGGCGACGAGATGGAAGGTGCGAGTGAGGCTTCGCTATTCCACCAGTAAGTTCGGATCTTCTGTACGCGTCTGGAGCTAACTCGATGAAATACATATCAAGACTGCGCTCGTCATCATTCCTCCACACAAATTCCACGCCTTCGTTATTCGCAACCGTTTCGCGCTCAGCCCCGAAGGTAAGGGAATTGAAGCTGCTCTCTTCATGGTCCCTGGATTCGAATATGCGAAAGCAGAGCCCATCGTCAAGTTGCTCAATGAAGCTACGGAGAAAGTGCGAGCACCCGACGCAGGCCCGGCTAGTCTTCCGGAACTACAGAGGCTCTGCAAGCTTTTGCTCGAATACCACGATCCAGGCCATTACCGCAAAGAGCGACAAGTCTTCATGTGCGCCAGGTTTCCCCTGATACCCGGGGAGGTGTTGGATCAGCTGACCGCTGTGTGCATCGAGCTTGGCTCCGCGGATCTGTGGCAGAAGGCTATGGAACAGCTCAGTGCCTCTTTCCAACGCCAAGTACGCGCCGATCTGACTATCGGTGCGATAGGTCGCTTGGTGTACAAGACAAAAGATGCCGAGCATCTGAAGAAGGCAGATGGGCTCGTAAAGTCCCAGAATGGTATCAAAAAGAAGATGGAGATGTGTGATAGCGTCCAGGCAGCATACGACCGAGCTCGCGACGCAGAAGAGTAAGTGATGACGGGCTCATTCAGCGCGGCAGTTGAAGTACTGACATTTCTTCTAGTAAGAGTGCTCAGTCAATCATACCAGCCGCCATGGCCACCTGGCGAGCCTCCATCATCCGCGAGACAGTACCTGGTAGTAGATTTATCAGCCTCAGAGATTGCCTACCACTGCTTGAAAACGGCCGCGAGCTCGAAGACGCATTCATCCACGATACACTTTGCTCCATGGCCAAGTGCGCTGGTATCGACGTCATCGAGGCCTTTCTCAAAGATGTGGCCAAGCTCAACGGCAAGGTCCCAGACGCCGATATCCAACGTTACTGCAACATTGTCCTTGGTTCGAGCGCCTCAACTCTCGAGAATGTCAGTTGGTATCATTTGAGATCCATGCGAAAGATACTACAGCATCACCTGTCGGTGGCTGAGCCTGCGATCCGCGAGTACTGTCTCAAGAAGCTGGGTGCGCCAACGAAAAAGCCAGAGGTTCGGAAAGGGAAGGTTCACGACGATGAGGTTGGAGACTTCGTTCTAATATCACAGACGTTTGGAGAGGAAGTCTTATCGCTCCTTCTCCCACACCTGGGCGGATTCTTAAACGATGTCCCCTGGCTAGTCCAACTGCTCATCCAAGTCAAAGACTCGGAGGAGTGGGCTTCAGAAACCTTCCTTCCACAATTCTGCACCACCGTCCTCGAACCCGCCGTCGAGCGAGCGAAACTGGTAGTCTCTAGACCAGACATACCCGTCGGCGAAATGATCCGCGATTCTTTCCCATTCCGCAAAAACATAGCGCCAGTTCGCGGCACCAATGAGGGAGACCGCGGTGTCACGATGGAGGAGTTGAAGCTGCTGATCCCGCTCCTCAAACACCTAACCCTGGACCATGTTGTGGATCGGCTGGCGCAGAGGATGCTGATGGACTTTGTTGACCTTGATTTCGAAAGCTTTCGCGATGTGCTCGGCGAGGAGAAGACGGATGAAATGATTGAGAAGAAGAGGGCGATTGAAGAGGCGAAGGAGGCGAAGAAACGGAAGGCTGCTGATGATGGTGGAAGGGGAAAGAAGAAGAAGGGAAGAGGAGGTCGGCGATGAAGATGCGATACGAGCGAAAAGATGATGAGGCAGCGAGAGGACTACGGGACAGCATAAATAGCCAGATATGCAGAGTCAGCGGCAATGTAGGCGCCAGGGTGTTCATCTTTCTCCTTGATTGAGGCGAAACAGTACTCACACGTAGTCATAGTAAATCTACAAGACTACCAGAGCAAGTGTCTACTAGCTACTAGATGTGTTTTCGGAGCGCTGGCCACCCAAGTACCGTTAGCAACCCGCATCACTTACAACCTGTACGTCGTCTCGTGTTCTCAGATCTGCAACCCATCAGTGATAACCCTCTACGACATTCCCTCCCTTCAGCGCCCTGATTTGCTCTTTTTTCCTTGCCGACTGTCCGCTAACTCCATCGCTTTACGCTTCTTCGTCAGCTTTCACCGTTGGTCCATGAATCGGAGTCCGAGGATCAGTCCACAAGGTTCGTGAACCTGCTCACAGCGCGTAGGCTTGATTCCCAAAAAGAATCGGGTAGCATGCCAGCTCGTGTGGTATCGCTTAGTGAAGAGCCCTGGCCTCCACGTAATCCTACTTCAGGTATCGCTTCGTCTTCAGGTATCGCTTCGTCTTCAGATGTTGCTTCGTCTTCAGATGTTGCTTTGTCTTCAGATGTTGCTTCGTCTTCAGATGTTGCTTCGTCTTCAGATGTTGCTTCGTCTTCAGATGTTGCTTCGTCTTCAGATGTTGCTTCGTCTTCAGATATTGCTTCGTCTTCAGCTGTCGCTTTGTTCTCAAATGCCGATTGCGACCAAGTTCCCGATGTGTCTACCGAGGTTGTTGAAGGTGATCCTTTCTTCATGACCAAGTCGATAGACAAACGGTCGACAATTTCACTGTCGTAAGGGCCTTCTTCTCTGGAGCCAGTCATCGTGGGACCTAATTTCAGATAGGCTTCGGGGTTTTCGACAAAGCCAATTGACCTCATTATGGTATGCATGATCGATTTGCGGATCCATATACCTGGACCAGCCCACATAGCTTCGCCCAGCACCTTCAAATCCGATGGCCAGCTTGGGCACTTCGCTCGACGTCGACGTGCGATGGTCGTAATCGCGACAAACCACAAATATTGCTTCTTTGGGCGAAGCTCATTCTTGAATTCCAGAATCCTCCCGTCGAGATCTGATAGCTTGCAGTGGCCGACTGATTCTGGGTGCAGTATGCGTAAGCCTGCTAAGCTCAGAACTCGAACCTTGTATGGCTCCTTGTCTTCCTTGAAGTCCACGACTTCGCCGGTTTCCGGGTCAATGTCTCCCTCACAAGCTGGGACGATGAGGATCGCAGCTTTGTCCATTGCCTTTTCGAGATCTTTGTGCATAAGAAGCCCATTCGATACGTCATTGAGATCGCCGTCTTTCGATGTTGGTGGGCCAAATATATAGGCGCAATTTCCTTCATAGGTGTTGTGTGGGACCAGATGGGCGGCCCTCATGTCGTCGAATGTTTGGTAGCGCCTGGTTATCGGACACCAGAGCGCTGTGGAGATCTGACATTCGCTCTCATAACGCTTGCTAAGACTTTCCATGAACGCACTCTGTGATGCGCTGTCCCTATCCTTGATCTTGAACCAATCGAGGGCACCCTCAGGCTCAAGCTGGCGCTGCATCAGAAGATCCAAATATGCCATCTCCATTTTTTCGAGTCTCAGAGTTGTATCGAGGAGGTCTCCCATGAGCCTATGTTTACGGGTTTTCAAGAGTATGATGTCTCGAACGGCATTGGCGAGTCGCTGTTCGGCATTGTATATCATGTCATCGCCTTTCGTCTTCTGCATGAGACCTTCCTCTGTGTATTGACCCCACGCTCGGATGAGTTCGGTGTAGAGCTTCTTCTTTGCTTCGAGAGCCTCCAGGGATTCTTTGTACCATGTGTTGTAATTGTCCGTGATCGTTCTATGCCATTTTTCATTGGTCATATTAGGTGTTCGCTTGAGCGGAAGGGGATTGTCCCATTTCTCGTGCCAGCGTGCGTCGATGTCCTTCACATTGTGAATTTCGTCGACAATGCGTTGTTTGTCGCGATGGCTTATCTCCATATCGTTTGATGGGTAGCCCACGACGGGCTCGTCGAGTGACATTTCAGGCGAGGTCTTGATCTGAGTCTTTGCCGTACTCTGACGACTCGGGGTTTTCTGGGGAGTGTTCGTGGTAGTCGATGTAGGAGTCGCTGGAGCGCCTGCATCTTGCCTAGATTCCGCCGACTCGTGCTGTCGACTCTTTTTTGCGGAGCGGCGGGATGAGTTCACCATAGTGACGATGGTGAAGTTGGATAGAGTGTTTGTATGTTAAGATCGTAGTGTCGTTAGAGTTGACTGTTCGTGGTGGTCGCAAAAACGAGCTTTTCGAGTTCGTTGTTGATGGTGCGAGGTTAATGGTCGAAGTCAGGGCAGACTTTAGATTTGAGTGTTACGAGCAAGTGCATCCAGGCGAAAAAGGTACTTAAGTTAACGTTGTGAAGGCACTGCTATGCAGGACCACCGTTCTTTCCAGGTTTCCACGTCAATCGCCGCCCAACCACAGCCAAACGGCAAGATCGTGCGATAACCGCCGCCAATAGTAATCGCGGGGTTTGAGATACGTTGCAATTATAGCACAGCTCGTTAAAGCTCTCGGTAAATGAAAAAAGGGATAATATGGTAATAGTGGTACTCAAAGTATGTTCTGACGAACGAGAAAGGTCAAGAGTGTAATGTGTAGGAGTTTCAGTGATCGCGGTCTTTGGTACTCTAAACCAGAGTCGAGTACGCCGACCTCTCTTCACATTCAGTGACTTATACTAATACTCTCTCCTTTGACTCACACAGTGTGGTGTGCGAAAATCTCAAATTCTAGTCCTATTCCAAGGTTCTCTCTCCCATGGTACCGCGATAACCTATTAACAACAAGCCACTCACGACTCCCGGAACACACATGAGATACACGATAACTAAATCCGCCCATTATATTATAGAAGGGATGAGAGCCTCATCTTCGCGAGCCCTAGCTTTACAAGCTCTGTCTTTGCAACCTTAAGCATTACGCGCTGCTAGTGTAACACTAAGCATTTGCAGCGAAAATCCTGTTTGTTAGCAAACCAACAATCTGTTCGCTCCTTTGAAGCGATCGCGTAGTGTCTAGCTCAATTCGGCGTCGTGCTGCGATGGCTTCCTAAGACATGGTTTCACTTTCGGGGCATTCGTAGTACTTTGCAAGCGTCACGTTCTTTCACTTTTGAACACACGACTTACGCCCATGCTATCCATGATTATCAGTAGGGGTAACCGAGTTCTCTAATGCATTGAAGCTCTTTGCCGTATCAAGGCTGCCTCGTCAGCCGGGATGTGTTTGATACGAGCGAATAGTTAATGTGGCAGCGATATGACGACGTGACACAGAATGATCTTAATAAGGAAAATGTCGAACGAGTCTGCAGCAGACACTATCAACGAAGCAAACAGAAAGACCCAGCGTCAATGCAGGCTCCAGGGTATGAGACAGCACTCAGGATGTGTGGAAAAGCGGATACAATTGAGATGATACATGATCCATTGCATTATCCCACTTCATCGCGTATCAACATCTCGCCATCATCCCACAATACCAACATATCTCATACCAATGTGCCCAAACGCCTTGATCGCTATGCATAACCTATTACCAACACTAACGCCATTACCGATGCTACCACCAACAATTACATAGTACAGATACCATACATCCCTCCCTGGAAGGGAACACGACGTATAGGACTTTGCCCACTGCTGCTCTCTATGTACACACGCTATTCTACTATCTTCCCAACAGTCCGGAAAACCAGTTGGCCAGGTTCTTTCCGCCCATACTGGGGGTGAAGGAGAGTACACTATCTGTGTCTCTATCTCTATCGCTGTCGCTTTGTGAAAAACTGTCTGCGCTGCTACTCTCGGGCGTGTGCGGGTTGGCATCTAACGTCTTCTGCGAGTTGGACTTGGTCACTCTGGGAGAGGCGCGTGGAAAAGTCATGCCGCGTGCGCGTACAGGCGATGTACCTGAGCTGGGTTTGTCGCGACCGTGGAAACTGTGAGAAGGCTTGGGTGTGCGATATGAGTGAGAAGTTCTAGGCGTTCCACCTCGTGAGATTGCGAGTCGTGGGCCGAAATTCGAAGGAAGGATCGGCGATGGTGTGTCTGTGTCGCCGGAATAGGATGTTGGTGTAATAGATGTTGGTATATCGCGATGTATCATAGGCATAATGCTTGGCCGCGTAGGCGGAAGTATATCATCTGTCTCCGATTTCGAAGAGGTGTCATCGATTTGTGTCGCGCTAGTCACGACTCTGATGGTTGAGATGAGCGGGTCTGTACTCTCTGTAGAAGTAGAAGGAGACGAAGACGTGGGCGTAGACGTGGATGACACTGCCGCTACTGGTAGGTCCAGCCCCGTAGCTGCGGCAAATCTCATTTGCATCGATAGCGGAACGCCGCCGGTCTTGACCCAGGGGCGGATTGTAAATTGTCTTTTCGGGAGATCTAAGACCACGGATCAGCTCAAATACAGACAGGAAGGCTAGGAATAGATGGCAGGCGTCTAGGCAGGACCACCTTCATCTCCCTTGGCTTCCTCTGCATTCTCTGCTGGAGCTTCCGCTTCTCCGTTTTGGCCATCAGCACCGTCGCCGTTTGGTTCAGCAGCCGCCGCGGCAGCAGCAGCGGCAGCAGCTTCGGCCTCCCTCTGCTGTTTTTCTGCTTTGGCTCTTTGTCTTGCGGCTTCTCGCTCAAAGTTCTCCTTTCGTGCGCGCTCATCTTTTGCTTTGCGGAGGCGCTCTGCTTCCTCGACGCCGCCGCTCTTCTTGAGCTTGCCTTCCTCGACAAAGTTTCCAAGCTCGCGCTTGAACTCGTCATCGTTCCTCGTCTCAAGATCCCGCTGTCGCGCCTTCTCCGCTCGCTCGATGGCTTCGAGCCTGCCTTCATGGTTTGGTTGCAGGGCCTTGACTTCTCCAAGTACTCCATCGCGGGCCTGGCGTGGATCCACAACTTTGTCGAGAGCAACTGCATTGAGCATGTTACGGCCACTAGCTGAACGCATCCCCTTTCCAGACTCTTTCTCGCTTTCAAGATTCTGTTGTTTGGTCGCCTGCTCGACCAGCTCAAGTGTTTGGGCTGCTTTCTCGAGATCATCTTGCAAGTCGGCTGCGAGTTCCTCCTGCATAGTGAGCATGTCTCGCTCTTCACACACAGTCTGCAACTCCTGTTCCCAAATCTTGGTCCAGAGAGGCTTCTCCTTTGCCAGAAGATCTTGCAGCTTCTTGAGCTCGGCAGTGGCTGTCGACAGGTCCTTGGCGGTAGTTTCGAGTTGGCGGGGCAGAGGTCGCACGCCACGCAGAACGACGTCCTTTCTGAGGTCTTCAACAAGATCTTGCAGGTCATCTACCCTGTTGACAATCTTCTCCGAGTCGTCTTGCAGGCCCTTCTTGCCAGCGTTAATGTAAGCGCGACCGCTGTCTCCATCGAGTGCGGGTAAAGCAGCCTTGATAGCAGTGGACTTCACAGCACTGGCCTTTGTGCGTATGGTGGACATGCTAGCTTGTATATCCGATACAAAAGATGAGTATGTTTGTCGCATGACGGCCAAATCACGGCGTAGCGATTGCACCTCGCTTACTTGAGTGGCTGAAGTAATGTTGGCTTCGGAGGGTGTGCCTAACGGTATGGGACGAGAGGGTAGCAGGGCGGAGTTGCGAGCTGAAGAAAGAGGTGCCGCTGATATACCAGCGATCTCCTTTGTCGTTTGCTGTTGACGTTCGGCTACGCGTTGTATAGTTGCTTGCTGGTCCTCGACCACTGTCTTGATGCTCTCCACCAGTTTGCTAAGTCCGCCAAACTTATCATCAATGTGGCTCTTTACTTCGTCGAGTTGCTCTACGTTCAGGACGAGTACAGACCTGTCTTTGATATCGTTGATATCCTCCAACTCGTATCGTACACCGGAAACGGGGTCCTGGATGTGGATTTCAGGCAGATCGCCGTAACGGTGCGTATCCCAGGCGAACTTTTCGATAAAAGCGAGTTGCAGGCGGGCCGAAGAAAGCTCAGCACCATCTGTGAAGACGTATTTCTTGATCTTGCTTTTGTACTGGAGAAACAAGGTAAGCTCTTTCCCTTGTTGAGGTGACTGTTCTGGAATGAACTGAGAGGGCTGTGGAGAGGGCGTCTTGACTCTGTAGGAGCTGTTACGGCTGGCTGTAGGCCTGGGCGGGTCTTCTTTCGCCGGTGATGCGGCTCCAAGCTCAGCTGGCTCTGATAACGGACCATTAAGCGTCGCACCTAGCGAGAACTGGTCGCCTTCTGGGAATTTCGGCTGCGCGAGCTTGTCGTCTGGGGTCTTCTGGACGGGACTGTCTTCAGGACCCGACTCTTTTGGTGGCAGAATGCTCGGCGTGGCGCTTTGCGAACTTTCTTCGGAAATGCGTCTCTCATTGGGCTGATCAAAGGAGAACTTTGTCTCCACAGCAGGCCGCTGTTGCGTGAGACTCTGATTTGACCGCTGGCGACTGTGCATCATGGACTGCCTGGTCCGCACTGCGTTCATGGACTCGCGTACATCCCGACCCCTATTCGGTATGGGCGAATTCTGGACAGGTGGAAGTGGTATGCCATTCGTTCCAAGATGCTTCTGGATTTGGTATGCTGAAAATCGGCGCGAAGCCCTGCGCTCCAGCTCACCACCTCTTTGCAATGCCGCGAGCGCATCTTCCTGTTTCGGTGGAGGTGGAGGTGGTGGGAAGTCGACGGGGTAGTTCGGCCGCGGGGGGTCAGGTGGTTTGGGCATGGAATCGTCTGCGGGATACGGAGCAATGACAGGCATTTGCTGGGCGGTGCCACTTGAAATGGACGAGTCGGTGGATAGCTGGCTTGCGGTGGTCGAGCGGTTCGCTTTCGGGTTCGAAGGGAGGGCATCGTACTTGCTCGGAGAGGCGCGGCCGCCAGCTACCGAAGATGAGCGCGGTGGGAGGTCGGGGCCGCCGAACGACGGGCTGTCCCCTCTTGAAGGCAGTCTTGTGCTCGCGGATCGCGGCTGTTGGTGCTCCTCGACATCACCACTACTCCCGACGCTGCCCTGTCGCGGACTGCCCCCACCGTTGAGCGAGCCATCTCTTCCTGTGCGCTGCCGTAACCGCTGTTGCTTCTTCTTCAGACCGTGCAGGAGGTTTATGATGATGTCTCGTATCCGCGGCAGGAAATTGTCGAGGCTCGCTTGCGATGCTTCCTGGCTCAGCGTCTCCTCCAGTATGCCACGCAGTAGTTCGGGAACGTTTCCGAGGTCGTTGGTGTCGACGCCAATCGCGTTGAAGGCGCGCGACGCGATGTTGAACTCATAGCCCAGACGCACGTAGACGTCCGAGACCTCGCTCTCGGTGGCGGTCCCGCGCGACCATAGTGTCAACGTCTCTGCACCGTGTTAGCACGTGTGTATGCGGGGCTGCACGCGCCGGGGACGCACCGAGGAGCTGCTTGGTGGCCACAAGCAGGTGTGTGACGGACTTTTCTATCTGCGAGAGCTGCTGCTGGGGCTGCATTGGATGCGGTGTCAGTGACGGTTGTTTGGTGTTGGGCGCGGGATGCGGAGAGAGAGAGAGAGAGAGCCCACGTACATTCTTGGGCGCACGGCGCGAGGACCCCTGAGACGAGCGGACAGAAGACGACTCCTCAGTCATGGTGCCGAGGGCGTGTGGCGCAGGTGTGCGGCAGCAGCAGAGTGAAGGGCCGGACTGGGAGCGCGAGGGCACGACGCTCTATCCTGGCAGTGTTGGCGACCACGTTGGGTGCACCGACGTCTGAGATGCCTGGGGCGAGCTAACACGAGAGTGGCTGGGCGGCACGTGGAGCAGTCTCACGTCCAACCTCACAGAAATTGTTTATTCCATCGTTGAGCCTCTCTACGTCATGGACGGACACGAGAGGTTGCCATGGTAGTTGGTGAAAGCCGTCTTGATGATTGCATCTCTATCTTGGGCATGCATCTGCGGTTAGCGACAGGCAAAACCATGGAACATGTGACGCCCCGTCGCTTAGGTAGGCTTCTGACGTGAGTCTGCGATGTAGCTGCAGCCCTGGGGACTACGGCCGGCATCCGGCCTCTCTTCGCGCTACCACCTCAAGCTGCTGCTGCTGGGTGGGTGGTGACTGGGGTAACCGTTGTGTGCATGCACTCTAGTACTCTAGCATGCTTGGAGCGCGACGAACAGGTGTTGCCCCGTATTTGGTGATGCAAGCTCTAGTATTGTTTACTGCATGAGTCTCGGACAACACGAGCAGCGCAGAATGAGAGCAGAGTGAGGCGTGAGGTCTCGCCTAGGACAGCAACGCTCTTCTTGGCTGGCAGCGCCCGTGATCGCGATAACAACTGAGGTCAGGCAATTGTGACAGTGCCAGGTCCACATATGCGCTGCCGTCCACCCAGTGTCTCCTCTATTCATCTCGCGCACCAGCCTGTGGATTGCCTGACCGTTGCGCCCTCGTGCCGTCGTCCGAGCCTTCACGGCTACTGCCTGAGGCTGGCCTAGTTCCCGCACACCTTGCACTTGTGTTTCATCCAGGCGATCCGCTTGGCGTTGCACCTCACTCTCGACTTCTGGCTGTTCAATCGGGCACAGCCTCCTATACCAAGTCACCACCGCTCCTCCGCCGTCCGGCTGTCCACCTCGCACGCACGTCGACTCTGCGCCTGCTGCCGCATTGAGCGTCCTGCGCTACTCTCACCCTAGAGTTGGAGCTCCTTCCTCCCCCGCCCGTCGCTCCTTCTCCCGCAACCACAAACCGAACCACCGACCCACGCTACCGAGCTCGCCCGCGCCCTGCTCTCCCCATCCATGTCCACTGCCGCTGCGACTCCGAATACCTCCTCCAATGCTCTAAACCCCGCCGCCAATTCCGCCCGGCCACTGAAGATGAGCACTGCCGCCAAAGGCATCGACGCACAGCAGCGAAAGCCCGGAAGCCCCATCGACGGCGGTCAGAAGTAAGCGCCTGCCCTGCACTCCCCATAAACACGTCTCCTACACTCCTGCCCCGCGTCCCTTGCATTGCAGACACATAGAGGCATGCTTCGAGTGCTCCCGCCATGCGGGATATTCTCGTGTGACGTGCGGCTGGTCACATGGAGTCACGGTGCGACTGCCCTGTCCACTCGATGGCCCTCTCCCCGTCTACTGTGCTCAATTACCTCATGTCCCAATGCTCTGTCCTCGACAACACCCTCCCCACTTGCACCTGGCGCCATGCTGACCGGGCGACTTGCAGGAAACCTCCCGCCAAAACGGCATGGACCCAGGGCACCAATCCCATCACACAGCGACCGACTCACTCCCCCACCCCCAACGGTGCCGTAAGCTCACCTAAGCCCCCACAAGGCTCGACGGCTGCCTCCGCCGACAACGCTTCCCCGATGAGGCACCTCAGCGACCGTATGATGTACCTGCTGGCCAATCTGACGGTGAGTGACAGCTGGCTTTCCATGCGACGCGGGTGAACAGTGCTGATGACACAAACAGGGTCTTCCGGGCATCATTACGCTGAAGAATGGCGAAAAGTACTCTGGTGTCCTCTCAGGCACCTCACTCGACCCCAGCGAGCTGCGCTATGTCTTCAAGATGGTCAAGAAGCTCCTGCCTACCAGCAACGCTCAGACCAACGGCACGAGCCAGTTGTCCGACGACTACGTTGGCTCAGGCGATTACCACGTCATGTCATTTGACATGAGCGATGTGGCAGATTTCAATGTCAACAACGTTGTCCTTGACAAGTCCCAGCTCAAGGGCCAGAATGGTGTGTACCAAAATCTACATCGCCTTTCTATGCCAGGCTAACAAAAAAGGCACCGCAGGCTTCCGCACTGATACCGACATCTCTGGCAAGCTCGAACTCCGTGAGCGCAACCTTCAGAAGTGGGAACCGTCCGAGGTTGATCCCAACATGACGCTCGAGTCTACCGGCCGTTCGAACGACTGGGACCAGTTCTCCGCCAACGAGCGCCTGTTCGGTGTGAAGAGCAACTACGACGAGAACATCTACACCACCACCATCAATAAGAATGACCCACAATATGCGGAACGGCTTGCCCGTGCTGAGAAGATCGCCCGAGAGATTGAAGGTAGCAGCGCAACCAACTCGCACGTCCGCGAAGAGCGCGGAGGATACACTGCGGCCGATGACAATGGCGATGAAGAGGACAAGTACAGTGGAGTACGACGAGACCTGACAAACCTGTCAAGCGGCCAGTCCAACCGGTACACCCCACCCGCACGACGTGCCCCCGCCCCTGAGGCGACGGTGCCCGGCGCGCCGGTGGACCCTGCCATTATCTCGTCTTCCGTCGCACGGCCTGCCTCGCAGTCGACACAACGTGTTGCAAGTCCCGCGGCACCAGCACCAGCAGCAGCTGCGCCTGAACCTAGCAAAACGCAAGAGTCCAGCAAAGACGCACCCAAGCCTGCATCAAAACCAGTCGACGCGCACAAGGCTATTGCGGAACAGCTGCAGAAGCCAAGTAGTACGATCAAATCTGGGGTTGCTGCCATCCCTCCTAGGAAAGCTGGACGGCCACACGACGCAACTACGAACGTTGAGCACGACCTGCTTGACTCCTTCAAGCAGTTCTCGGCCGCTGAGAAACTACGGATTTCCGATCGCCAGAGGGCTTTCGCCCGCGAGAACAAGGCTGTGAAGCTCAACGATCTTAAGAAGTTCGCGCTCAACTTCAAACTGAGCACGCCGGTACCGTCAGATCTTGTGCCCATACTCGCTAAGGACGAGACAAAGCAGCAGGCTATCGTCGACAAGGCCAACAAACAAGCGCAGGAAATGAAGACTACACCTCCGAAGGCGTCCAGCACCATGGCAGACCCCAAAGCTGCCGCACGATCTGCTGTCAAGCCAGAATCCACCCAAGCATCCCCTAGCACTAACGCAGAGCGCCAACAAAATCAGCGTGCTCGACCAGGGCAGCCAGCCTATGCGTCTGCTTCTTTGCGGGGTTCCCACCAGAACATGAACCAGATGCCTCCTCGCAACCAAGGACTACTTAGCACTCGTCTGCAGATGAACCACCAGCAGCATAAGCAGCAAGGTGCCATGCCATACAACGGCGTTCCTCAACCGATACCAGCTCAGGACATGCGCGTACCACCTACTGGTCCTTCACAGCCCTCGAGTGGTGCTCAGACGCCTTCTTCCAGCGTGTCTACAAGGTTCAACGTTCGCGCCCATGAGTTCAAGCCCAACCCAGCTGCAAACACCTTCCAGCCCGGTGGAACCCCAAGCGCTACCTCCAGTCCTAGGCCAAACTCGTCTAGGCAAGAAGTCCGCAAGCCTCCTGTTACCAACTTCTTTACTGGCCCGAAGCCCACTGTTAAATCACTGGACGGATTGACGACCTTCAATGCCATCGGACGCCTTGAGAAAGAGGCGCAGTCGAACGAGAAGTCACATCACTCAGATATTGCACCTCCCTACAAGACCCCGCCTACGTGGGATTTCCCCTCTTCGAACACGAACAAGGGATATGAGCAGCTATTTGACCATGCTCCTCCGTCTGCGCCCTTGTCAGTACCACAGCATGTCATGCCCAACGGCCCCATGCCTCACCAGCATCAGTTACCACCTCATCTCCAGGGCGCCCAAGGCATGACACAAGGACCGACACCTCAACACACTCCCCGTGGGCCACCGATACAACCGCAGCTCGGCCAAGATCAACATCATTTCGGTGCTCAACACATGCAATATTCGCACTCAACGTCATCAGTCCAGCCTTCACCACGTCCGATGGCACCGTACATGTATGGCGCACAACCTCAGCCAATGCAAGGCTATCCTCCGCAAGTCCCGCAATATGGCATGAGTCCTGGTATGCAGCATGCCACGATGCGCAACCCACAAGGCGGTCAATTCATGAACGGCCCTGGGCCGGCGATGGGGGGTCAAATGATGACGAACCAGCCTTCGAATGGACCCTTCATGGGAATGCCGGGTAATCCACAGATGCAGATGTACTCGCCCGCTCCCGCTCCTGCGTATCCTCAGTACCCGGCTCACATGCCTCCGGGTGCCAACGGATTCCCTAGCCCCAGGCCAGGTGCACCAATGATGAGCCATCAAGGATCGCAACAAGGCCACCACCAGCAGCAACCACCTATGATGTACATGCAGCCTGGTGCACCAGCTCCTCAGATGTACCAAATGCAGCCAGGAGCCAGTAAGTACACATTCACCGTTATTCATGCAATAGTTGACTAACATCACTCTAGTGGCTCCAATGCGAGGTCCTTTCCAGCAACAATACCAAGGTGGTCACTACGGCTCACCACAACAACATCACCAGTTCCCCCAGCAACACCGTGGTACACCCAGCGGAAGTTACTCGCAGCCTATGATGCCGCAGCACTCATCGGGTCCCCAAGCTCCACCCCCCACTGGCCCCGCTAGCCATGCACCGGACGGCAACGCTGAGCCCAAATGAGAATCTTTAAACCAGGCTCACCGCAAACAAGCGGCTTCCGCAGCGTCTGCTGCCTGACCTTCATTACATGCTCTCCTTGCCTGTTTTACCAAATTTTGCTATGCGCTTAGCGTGGGTGGGTTGATTAGTCACCATGATAAGTGGCTGGAGGCATAGCGACAGGCGTTGACTGGGCATGATGGGTGCATAAAAGATCATGGTACGGACGACAACCTTGCAGGTCATGGGCATGCAATATGGGACAAGAGAGGGAGGGAATCGGGACGATCGCTACGCTACACGCGATCGCAACGCGCCAGGAAGGAGCAAGTCATGAGAATCGCTTTGGCGTTTCCGTCCTCGAGGCAGCGTTCAGGGGTGGGGTGGAAAATTACTAGCAAGTAGAGCAGGCTCATGTGAGCACATGCTGCTGGAATACTATCAATACTATAAGTTCACAAACCTCGTTCATGTGCCTGCAATGACCCGGCGCAAGAGAATGGCCGAGTCCATGTTGCGACCTTATATCGTAAACAGAACATAGCATACATGATACTGTATGCTTGATCCTTGAACTTAAGACATGACTTTGAGGACAGGCTTTTATGTAGGCGGCAAGCAACACAAATTCTGGTATCTCCTGGTGCCGCTGGTACCGCCTACTCTGCAGGTGACATGGATCACCAGGCACAGATCTGGCCCACCCACTAGCGTGTCTCGAGCATTCCGCACTCCCGCGGCCATTCCGACACTACCCCAGATAACCTCCGCCAGCGCACCGTCCTGCCTTCTCTCCCGAACACGCTTCCTATGTATGTGTGTGCTGTATGCCGCGCTCAGATGAAGACGTAGAACTAGACAGCATGAACGACGCTGCTGCCGAGCCCTTGATCTCCAACGACCGCCGCGTTCCGAACGATGCACGCGACCGCTACGATGAAGCCGACGACGCGAGTATAAGAGAGGATGAGGTGGACGAGAGCGCCTTGGTATCCCCAGGCCTGTTTATTTGGTGTCTGACTATATGCGCCGGGGTCTCAGGGTTACTATTTGGATATGAGTACGTCGCATCCGTTCCTGCGATCTTTTGCGCCATGCCTCATGGCATCTACAGAAAGTGGGAGCAACAACAATATACTAACGCTACACAGCACCGGTGTTATATCATCTACCCTCATATCCATAAACACCGATCTCTCCTCCCGACCCCTGACCACCCTCGACAAGAGCTTGATTACGTCTTGCACTTCGTTCTTCGCACTCCTCGCCTCGCCCCTAACGGGTATCCTCGCTGACGCATACGGACGCAAAACCGTGATCCTCGTCGCAGACATCCTCTTCATACTCGGTGCGCTGCTGCAGGCATGGACAAGCAGTGTTGGCGGCATGATCGTGGGTCGGTCCATTGTCGGCGCAGCAGTCGGAAGCGCGTCATTCGTTGTACCGCTGTATATCTCGGAGCTCAGCCCTAGCCCTTTCCGGGGACGTCTGGTGGTAGTGAGCAGTTTGTTCATTACTGGTGGCCAGGTTGTTGCTTATATTGTCGGGTGGTTGTTCTCGGAAAGATTGCATGGATGGAGATGGATGGTGGGTTTGGGTGCTTTACCGGCTGCCATACAGTTCGTTATGCTGTTCTTCCTGCCGGAGACACCGCGATACCTTGTAAAGGCTGGAAAAACACAGCAGGCGAGGAAGGTGTTGGGTAGAGTGTATAAGAGCGAGGAAAGTGGGACGAAGTTGGTGAACGCCGTGCTGAGGCGGGTAGAGAAAGAGATTGAAGAGGAGGAGGATGCGGCTGGATTGCGAGGGACTCCTGACATGGCTAAGTTCGGTTGGAGAGCTAAGAAGGAGAGGGTGCAAGACAGCCTCTCTCAACTTATCGTCATTGGAGGGAACCGTCGAGCCTTGATTATTGCCTGTATGCTTCAGGGCTTCCAGCAACTGTGCGGCTTTGTAAGTCTCCTCCCCCACATCCAAGCAACAGATATCCCCACTCGTACCACTCGAACATATCAGAGTATGAAACTCCCGCTAACATCACCCCCAGAATTCACTAATGTACTTCTCCGCCACAATATTCCGCCTCGTCGGCTTCGAATCCCCAACCCTAACCTCACTCTCCATCGCCATCACAAACTTCCTCTTCACACTCGTAGCCTTCCACTACATCGACCGCATCGGGCGCCGCCGTATCCTTCTCTGGTCTGTACCCATCATGATCATTGGCCTCACACTATGCGCCATCGCATTCCTCTTCATCGACCTTCCCACCGAGGAAGCTTCCGCTACCGCCACTGCCATTGCCGGCGATAACAACAAGATCTGGCCCTTGGTTATTCTCTTCTCCATGATAACATACGTCGCTGGTTATGCGATAGGCATGGGTAACGTTCCTTGGCAGCAATCTGAACTCTTTCCCCTGTCTGTAAGGTCGCTTGGGTCTGCGGTGTCGACGGCTACGAATTGGGGATCGAATACTTTTATTGGGATCACTTTTCTGCCCATGATGAATATCTTCACCCCTGTGGGAACTTTTGCGCTGTATGCCGTGGTCTGTGTGGTTGCGGAGATTGTCATTTGGAGGATATATCCCGAGACGGCGGGGTTGGGGTTGGAAGACGTAGGCGGGTTATTGAAGGATGGGTTTGGGGTTAGGGATAGTGTTAGGAGGTTTGAAGAGAGGCGGCGGGTTCGGTGATGGAGGGGTAGTTTGAAGAATCGTACGTTAGAGTTTAGTCACCTTACAGCGTTACGTGTCTGTTCATGGAGTGTGATGTCAAGGACATTGATAGTTCGAGATATGACATCTGGTAACGTGAAGACCGACAGCGATTTCCTAGGCATAAATGCCACCGCCCTCCCTCACATCCTTCTTGTTCTCTAGACTCGCACGCTCCCATTTACCCAGACAGCCATACTACACCACACCTACAACTACACAGCCATGAAGCCTACATTCTTCCTCCTCACGACCCTCAGCGCTCTGGTAGCCGCTGCCCCAGTCCACGCCTCCAACCCCCCTCCTCCCCTTCCCACAGCCTTCTACCCTGACCCTGTCTCTGGCTCCGGCTCCGGCCAAATGGTCGACAACATGCTCCCCGACAGCGACCTCCCAGGTGGCGGCATTGCCTCCGGCCAAATGGTAGATAACATGCTTCCTGACAGCGACCTCCCTGGCGGCGGCATCGGCTCCTCTTCTCCTCAGATGTCCGACAAGCGCGCCCTTGCCAACGCGGTTCCTGATAAATATGACTCGTCTACGTACTACGACGCAGCTGCTGAGAAAGAAGCAGAGGAGCTGGCTCTTGTGCTAGACGCTGCGAGTGAGAATGCGGCGGAGGACGAGAGTGCCGACACCAACCTTAACTTGAAGAGGGGACAGGGACAGGGAATGGAAAGCAAAAGCGTTGAGGGGTGTAAGAAGAGGGGTGGGCTGGCGGAGTGTGTGAAGTGTCAGAAGGAGTGGGATATGTACGTTTGATGTCCCGCTTATATCCAGGTTTCTGCACGAGGCGCGTGGGTACGGTGGTGAGACAGATGCTAACGGTGTAATGTAGGCACGTATCGTGTTTGTGCGAGAAGAAAGTCGGGATGGATGCGTGCGTGCAGAGCAAGATCAAGAACTATGTGAGTTAAAGGTTTCGGATCGCGCGGAAATGATTGAGGAAACTAACATACTGGTAGGATGCTTGCGCAAAGAAGGAGTGCCCATAAGGTAAGACAGCTCCGAGCAAGTGGCGTCACTACAGGAGGAGATTCGGCGGAACTGAAGATGCCTCAAGATTGTTATGCTTGTATCAACAGGCATTGAGAGTTCGTAGTGGAAATTCCATTTTCAGATTTTCAGATCTGTCTGCTATAGCACATTTTCCAGACGTATCGTCGCTTTTGCGTTGATGCGAAACTCTGATGACCTTGGTAACCCGTTCCCGCATCCATATTAGAAGTTACCTCATTCGCCGTAAACGCCAAAGTGTCATTAACTCATTACCCTTCCATCCCCTCGTGCCGAAACGCCAACGCTGATGCAAATGCCGGAATCCTTTTGTCCCTCATCCTTCACACGCTAGGGTGACGGGTATCACGTCATGCCAATTGACCATGCATAGAGTGTGAATCTCCTAGTTGCCAACGGCCGTATCGTTGAGCGCGACACAGACAGCACCACGGTGATGTCCGTTGTACTGCCTGATGATGCTCTGGCTACCAAGCTCCCACAGCCTTGCGTAGTGGTCTGAGCAGCTGGTAACGAGGTAGGCGCTATCGGCTGAGAAGGCGCAATCCCAGACCCACCTCTGATGACCATGTAGCGTAGTCTCTAGAGGGAAGGCAGCTGGGTCGCGCTCGCTAGCTGCTGGCAGGTTGTCGGTGGGCGTGACGTTATGGGGAGCGGTAGGATCGACGGACCAGATGCGCGCTGTGTGGTCGGCGGAGCAAGTGGCTAGATGACGGACGTCGGGGGACAGGAGGACGCGGGTGATGTAGGTTGTGTGGGCCACGAACTTGCAGATGGGGAGGATCGAGGTGGTATCGCTGCGCTGGATCATGCGCCAAACGTAGACGTTGCCCTAACATGCGGTATTAGCAAACGTTTGACCTTTTCATCTGGCCAGACTCACGGCGTTGTTGCCTGCGCAGACCATGCTTCCGTCGCTTGCAACCGTAACACTAGCCACGCTGACGTCGTCCTCTGGAATGAGCTGGTGAGAGCACTTGTTCTCTCCCAGGTCCCAGATCCTCACGTTACCACCGCGGTCGCAGCTGATGAGCTCTCCCTGGTTTGGATGGATGACGACATCGTTGACCGGAACACCATGAGTGTAGTTGCGCTGAACGTTGCCTGATCGCGTGTCCCAGATCTTGACCGTGCCATCTTCAGACGAGGTGACCAGCCACTTGGACTCGCAGTGGAACGCGACACCGGTGATGTTGGAGGTGTGACCGTCGAAGGTAAGGATCGCGTTCGGGTTTGTGGACTTGATATCGTAAAGCTTGACCGTGTGGTGACCGGCGGCGGCGAGGTATCGCTTGTCGGGCGAGATGCAAAGGCGGTTGACTTGGGAGTCCGGGTGCGGGATAGTCCGGGAGCATATACCGGAGAGCGCTTCCCAGAATCTAGAGTCCTCCAAGTCAGTATGAATGGCTGCCAATGGCGGATGAGACGCGTGCGAACCTAATGGTATGGTCGTAACCGGCTGCAATTGAGTGTTAGTTGTTTGTCTGCCACATGTGGGGTAGGCAGCTCAACGTACCTGTGCATAGAATGACCGACATCTTGATTACAGGGTCTCTTTCTATTTACGAATTAGGGATGAACTTTTGTGTATACCGGAAACCCGTAGTAGTACAATCAATGCGACGGTGTTAGTATGCGCGACAACTGCAGAACATGACGCGCGCGAGGTTGCGATCACGATTGGAGAGCTTTGCGCGCTGAGGGGAGTTGGAGTTGGTCTTGTTCGGGAGTGCTTGGGCCACTTCAGCCCTATGGCGGTCAGCCTATCGTGGCCTAGCGCTATGTAAGCTCCCCATAGTGAATGGTGAATTCAGATGTCGTGACTGTGCTTGTGCAAAAGTCACACTTGTTACGAGTGTTAGGCACATGATGTGGAAGCCATACTCTTTTGCCTTCGCGTATATCAGAGTTGAGTGCTATATCGTACAACACAAAACACAAGCTGGATGTACGCAATACCAGGTGGTATATCAAGTGCATGTCTACATGAGATCCGGGTACGCGAAGACGCGTTGACTAACCATATAATTCCAAGACAGCAGCTTACAGCTTACTAGCTGTGTGCATAAGCGGATAACTCTTCGGTCCACTCTCCAGCGCATCTTTCGTAATCTCTCCGACGTTCTTGAACCCTCCAACGTTCATCAAGATGTCCAGATCAGCTAGTAGACCGCGCATAACATGGTCAACTCCTGTCTCGCCCATGATCGAAAGGCCCCAGATCCACAGACGGCCAACGAATACGAACTTTGCGCCCAGAGCGAGCGCTTTGAAGACGTCGGATGCGGAACGGACACCAGAGTCGAACATGATGTAGATTTTGTCGCCGACAGCTAGAGAATTCGTTAGTCGTGTATCAATGAGGAAGAGCAGACATGATACGTACCATCGACAATCTTCTCAAGAGAGTCAAGACTTGCGACCGCGCCGTCGACTTGTCTTCCAGCGTGGTTGCTGACTACGATGCCATCGAAGCCCAGATCAACAGCTTTCTTCGCATCGTCCACACTCTGAATGCCCTTCAGAGAAAACGGCTTGCCACCACTGAGCTCCTTCCATAGTTTCATCGCCCACACAGCCTTCTCCCACGTATGCGCGCGTCCATGCCATACGTTATCGATCCAGAGCGCGCCAGCTTCGTTGGGCTGTGTCTTAGGGTCAATACCCTTTTCCTTGAGCCTCTTCTGGAAGACGGGGTCGGTAAGGCCCAGATCCGCACCAAGCCCGTGATAGAAAGCGTAATTCGAATTTGCGACATCGTCATGTCGCCATCCGAGCTGCCAAGTGTCAAGCGTTAGGATGCAGGCTGTGAAGCCGCTGTCCACAGCACGTTGAAGGAGCGATCGAGTGAGCTCATCATCGTGCGGCATGTAGAGCTGGAAGAACCTCACACCCTTCTCGCCGCCACCGGCAGCGGTGCCTGTGTCGCCTTGTCCTTTCCTCACGCCCTCATCGTTGGCATGGCCTATGTCCTCTATGCTCTGTGAGCCTGCTGTCGAGAGACAGTATGGTAGCCCCAAGGCGCCTGCGGCTCTTGCTACGGGTAGCTCGCCCTCTGGGTTGTAGATCTTGTTGATACCAACAGGCGCAAATCCAATCGGCGCAGGCACTTTGTGTCCAAAGATCTCGGTCGCAGTGTCGCGCTGGTTGGTATCTACCAGCATACGCGGAATAATTCGATGTCGGTAGAACGCTTGTCTGTTTACGGTATGTGTGTGCGATTGGCCGGCATTTGAAGACGCGTAGAACCAGCCGCCTTGACTGAGTTTCTCTTTTGCTAAGTCTTCGAGTTTGCCCGGTTCTATACACAGTGCATCAGCCTTGCGCGACATCAAATGTCCAGTCACTGGTTCGCTCGATTTCCACTTGCGCGACAGTGCTGTGAAGGTAAAGCATACTTACCTGTGTTGAACACTGGTACTTCGCCCTCATTGGATTTCCAAAAGTTCTCTCGCTGAAACAAGGCGTACTGCTGCGTGGTTCGGGCCTTTTGGTTGGGATTTACAGGGTCCATGGTGCAAGTGGCCAGTCAGGTACAACGTCGGAGCAATTGAGGAGGGAACTCGATAATGGATATTGAAGGGAATGATTGTTTTACTTCATCTTTTGAATCAAGAACAGGCGTTGACATTGCTTTTAGCAATGGACCACCGGCACTCTCGGATCCACGCCATAGTCGTGACGCTTGCACAGCTGTCGCAAATTATGACGAAAGGTGATGCTGCTCGGACTGGACCCTGATCTCAAGCTTATCTCCGGACTCGCGGACGGCAATGCGAACGGCAATTGCATGTAGCACGGATGGAACAAAGACCTCGCTATCGATTGACACACTCGACTGTGAGTCACCTTCCAAGATCGGAGTCCATATGTGTCCGTTGACGATGACTGTCAAGATGACACTGAGATTAGGTGCACGCCGCAAATTGACCTAAGAGCGGGACAGTGGGGCATCTGAAAGCTTGTTTGCTAGCAATAAGTAGACGCATAAAGACAAGGAACTCGGTGCTATCTGATGCAACACGCATTCTACCGTGCCTTAGAACGCGGCTGATAAAAGTGATGTCATAAGGGCACTATACGCTTCCAGTTCAGACGCAGACGAAGGTCGTGGTAAACACCATCTTGATAAAACCATTGTATCATGAACAAAGTGATAGCTAGGTAAAGTGGAAGGCGAAGGCCGAGCCCGCCAGGTATCATTTCGTAAATCTGCCCGCTTGCGATCTATGAGGCTCGTTTCCATGACCCGTCGTTTGATTCTACAGGAAACCAACGTACCCATCGTCGCTTGCAAAACATCCATAAGAGAGACATTGCATATCATCATGCATCGAAACTGAGCCCTTCGAGCCAAACATCATTAATCGTGGCCAAGTCAAGTGAGGACAAGCTATTTCTCGCTCGTCTTGGTTGTGCCTGCCTCAGGCTTCTTGTCGGTCTGGGACTCGGGAGCGTCGGACTTCTCCGTCTGTACAGATGAGGGCGACTCAGTCACTTGGACCTTGCTCTCGTGCTGAGGGCCTGGCGTGCCTTCGCGATCCTCGCGAGACTTGGCATTGGCGTCCTGGTTGTACTTGTTGACTTGCGAATCCAGATCCTTGTCTTCGTCCTCGTTATCGAACATCTCGCCGTCATTGTCTCCAGTCGAGACTTCGGTACCGTCGCCGAGAAGGATGATGCGACCGCCGTTGCCGTTGTTCGGCCGGAATCGACTGTCCAAGTCCATGTCGATGTCATCAGGA